AACTGCCACAAATGATCGACAATGGAGAAAATTGACTGATGTTCCTCATATCAAAATGATTATGCGGCTGATATAAGCATTTAAATTAGCTTGAAAATGCGGCAAGGGTACTTTAATGCTTGCTAACAACATACATTGGCTGGCTGTAGACTACTGTAATAACAGCATACTCGGTAATGACTGACATCGGGTGTAGAGAGGTATTCTATTTCAACAGGAATTATTAAGGCGATAAAATCCAACTTACGATTTATATTTCCTCGCCTTTTCCGTTTCTTTAATATACTGACCCGGTAAGGCTGATGCAAGTACCCAATCGGCCTAAACAAAGAAAGCATCGATAACCACGGGAAATATCTGTTTCTTCAGACATGAAAATACAACTGAGGTTAGGCTGTTGTTCAGGTTTTAAAAAAGATATTTGATTAACTAAGGAAGCTTTTATGTCACCATTCAAGTCACGGATAACCCTGGGTAGACAAGGTGAATAAGGTTATAAATGTTTCCTTCAGCAACCTGCTTTACAACATGATCATGTCCACCGGGATGACTGTATGATGGACTGTGTGATCATATTTCGTTCCTCATGTACAATTTCTGGTAACGAATGACAACGATCCACAATAAGAACTAGTATTATGCATAAATTGAGAAGAGGAAGCCGTGCCGAGCACCAAAATCATAATTTTATTAGTCTGAGCTTTCGAAATCGTGCGGAAGTCCATCGTCAGAGATAAAATCGTCAACGATGCATCCTCAACCGATGCACCGAGCTGGCGCCCGCATATGTTGCCCTGCGCAGGTATCTCCAGACTCACGGCACTGGCGGTTAATTGGTCCTGTCCCCCTTCTCCCTCCCCTCTGCACCTAAGACGGTTAACTGGCCTCTTTCCCCCATAAATGTTGCTTGCTTTCGTTGACGATATTATCTCTGACGATGGACTCCCGCAATAGTTCTAAAGTTGAGACTAATAAAATTATGATTCCGGTGATCGACACGGCTTCTTCTTTTCCATCTATACACATACCAGGGATGTGAACCTTTACCTCAACTAGTATTATATTTTGATGAAGGTC